TGTGTGTGTGTGTGTGTGTGTGTGTGTGTGTGTGTGTGGGTGTGTGTATGTAGATTTAAAGGCAAAATACTGAAAAAACAAAAAACAAAGTTGTGAGAAATAATGGCTGGATCTCGGTAGCGATACAAATATGATAAGCAACAGCTAAAAAGTAAACGTAAGTAAACTGCCAGAAATAGAACCAGAGCTTTCGGGCAACACTAGTCTTTCCTCAGTGGCGAGCGAATGTAGAAAATGTATTTATAGTAAAAAGTAAGTATAGAATATTTAGAAAAAACAATAATGCTTATAAATATATCGAAAAACGAATACAATGCATGAAATATATTAAACTATATGAATACACCAAGATTTTATTTTTAATTTCAATTTTTTGAAATTTAAATCAAAGCAAGTTTTATGACCCATGGATCGTTTTTAAGTCACATAAATAATAATTATTACATTAAATTAATTAAAATGATTTAGACAGAAAAATTATAGAATGTATATACAGACAATGATTTTCAAAACATTAACGGCATTAAGATCATGAATTTATATATTCACTATATAAATATTATTACACTTTATTAAATTAATTAAAATGATTTCACTTACCCTACTTTTAAAGAGTACTTAGACTTACATTGTTGAATGTAGGTTGCAAAAACATGTGCCTAAGACTTCACGGTATGGCATTACACAACAAAAAATCTTTAGTTCTGTTTTTTACTGTTGTTTACGTTTTTACTCAGATATTCCGTTTTAATGCCATTGTATGAAAAGGACTCAAAAAAATTTTAGAGCACAGTCTCCAGTGTGAAAATAAACAACAACACAACTAAACCGCAATTAAATCTAACACCATGAAGGCAAACAGGCTTGTACAACTACAGTATACAGTATGGTACACTCTACTTACCTATATGTATATTTTCTTACTTAGAAGAAACACCATTCCAAAATTTAATATTTTAGAGGATGTTTTTGCGACGACGTGTCTACGACACAGTTCCGGTAGTTCACATACACGCTTGCTTCAACCGTAATTTGGATATTATGAGACAGGTGCACAACCAACCAGGTATCTGAAGGAAAATTGCTGCAAGGACAGTAGTGCCTTACCAGGCTAGTTCAGCGCTCACCCCTTATTATAGCGTCCACCCTCAAATTGGTCTAGCCCTGGGGCCGAAACGGAATCCGACCAGTTTGTCAAAATCCAGTTTGCCGGAACCCGTGATTACCGAATTAATGGCCACTTTGCCGAAACCCAGTTTGCCGAATCCAGTTCACCGAAATCATGACAACCCAGTTTGCCGAATCATTTGACGTCACCATCGTACAAAATACAGCATACTCCGCTTTGAGTAAATGCCCCTTCTAGAGCCTCATTTGGAATAAACGCCTCTTTCGAAAACACCCCGTGGCGTATAGTTTTTCCTCGAATAAACGCCCCCTTGACTGTAAACAGATCTAATTGAAACATCATTCCCACAACTTTCTATTAATGTTATACTCCAGTAGAATTAAATTTTAATTACAGTGGAATTAAGGGACGTTTGAGTATGTACGTATCCATTTACACAAAAAAATAAATGCCTGCCTCGAATAAACACCTCCCTCGAATAACTCCCCCTCAAAAACCATTCTCAACAATGAACGAATCAGGGCGTTTATTCGAAAAAATCGTCCGGGACCAAAAACAATAATTTGCATAGGTTATCCATATTTTGATTGTCAATTCCTAATATTGTGGTATAAAAAAACCCCTAAAAACTCCCAACGCGAACAAATGGATTTTTTATGCCGGGACCCTGACAGAGGCTCTAGTCAGTCTCTTGATTCGGTATAATTGTAGATTATTATTATTTATTTATTTATTTCATTTAGGTATACATATTATTATCTTAATTAAACTTTATACACTTATTATAAATATGCTTATAGGACATTTTATCTGACCTAAATTTGATATTTCTGGTAATGTCCAGAGTACTTGAACGCAGTTTATTTATTTTTATATTTTATGATGTGATTGTATTTCATTTCATTTTAACAAGGAGGTGGTATGATATAAAAATAGTATTAACACACATGCTTTGTAGCTGCCTTCTAATGCATCCATTCATGTTCCTTCTTGAACGTGTGACCCCTGAGCTTTGATGGCCTATCGTACCCTGTCAATGTACAGTTGGGCGCTTGTAAAAAGCTATTTGTAATTATAAGATACTGTACTTAATACCTAATATTTGATTGTTTTGACAACGTTTAAGGCACCTGCCACAGTTCGTATTGTTTTTTTTTAAAAATTAAGTAGGGCCTAGTTATCATCATCATCATTTGTTTTCTGCCTACTCTGCGGGTAGAGATTCTCATATAGTATACACTAAAAGATAGTTCAATTTATTAAGCATGTTTAACAAAATATTTCCCGCCATTTAAAATGCAATTGGATTTGTTTTCTATTTCTAGTAAACGCTAGCCGCTCATTGGCCGTATTCGACTGGTCGTTCTTCGTTAAACCACGCCCACCTGCCCAATTAGTGGTAATAAAATCACACTTTAAACAAGGTAATTCAACAAAAGGACGCACATCTCGGGACATCAAGGCTATGTTCTCACACGGCCGCTAACGGTTAGCAGGATCCGGATCCTGCTAACCGTTAGCTGCCGTGCGTCCATACGAGAAAATCCCGATCCGGATACCAAAAATATGATGATCGAATCACTGGCCA